ACACACACACACACACACATATATATACATATACACACACATATAATTTTAAATGTCCTAATTCATAAGTATTTATTACATACCTTTACAAGGTATCTTTTCTCAGGGAGCAACCTGAAAATAATGACATAAAACATAAGAACTCCCACTCTTGAGGCAAAGCACTCTCATTTGTTCAGATTCCATCTGTCAAGAGCCCCAAGGAACGCTGTGTGGAAACAGTATTTGTCTCCAAAAATCTCCCATTTACCACAGTGAGTATTTGAGGATCATTCTGTGCCAAACCACAGGGCTAAGTATGATCACATGTTATCTCATTCATCTGAGAATGTTAAGGATAGGGAAAGACAAACTACTTCTAATAGTTCTTCATAAACTACTGTAGACTCATAATTCATCTGTTTTCTGATACCTCTTAGACTACATAAAATCTGTTTGTTTAATAATTTGGCAAACTTTCTTATTATAGTTTATGTTAGTATTTTCTCCAATTACTTATTGGCAAAAGTCTTCCAGATCTATTATTGATAACATCCAGGAAGATTCATATTTGTTCTGATTAAGGTTAATTTAATCATTTCCTATGGTCTTTGGCTTTTCAGCTAAAAACATCTTCTGCTTAATTCCATTTTTTACAAATACACATATATATATTTAGTTATAGATGGATTAAACACCTTTATTTTATTTATTTATTTTTATGCGGTGCTGAACCCAGTGCTTCACACATCCTAGGCAAATGCTCTAATACTGAACCACAACCCCAGCCCCTCCTTAATTCCATCTTAAAACTACACTAGTGTTTTTTAAAGTTTGAGCTATGGACTTTATTACTTCAGGCAACAGAAGAAAATATCTTTAATATTTAGATTAACAATAAAAAGATGACAAAATACTAGTGTACTTACTCTTCAATACTTTTATCATAGATAGTCTTAATTCTTAAGTGTTCATCAACATCTCTCTTTACAACATGATTTGTCTTAAGATGAACCTTATTTATGACCTAGAAAAAGAAATAGTTTTGAAAAACAATTTTTAGAAGATGTACATATTTTTCTTTATTGAGGTAGAATTTATATATAATAAAATATACTATTTTATTAGCTGAGATCCAAACTTAAAAATCAATAACCAAACTTCAAATTTATACTTAGTAAAAAAGTCCCTTAGCTCACACTCCATGATTTTGGGATTCATAACCTCAAATATCTCCCAAGCAACTTCTATCATCTGGAAGAATACTATGAACTTCCATCACATGAATAAATTGTTATGGTAATGCCAGCTGCCAAAAAGGTCTGGGTTTCTCTGCTGCTTATCTAGTTTCCTACTATATTTCTTACTGGAATTTTGTGTGTTCAGAAAATGATAGGAAGACACTAAAAGCATCTTAAATTACTCTAAAAAGAGGATAAAAACTTCCAAGTGTTTCACTTGGAATTTTTTCTCATTTCATAATTTCTTAAAGGGAGGAATAAGAGAAGAAAGGTCTCAGCAGTATCAAAACTTGATGCAACTCTTAGCCAGACATAGTGGTAAATGCCTGTGATCCCAGTGACTCAGGAGGCTGAGGCAGGAGGATTGCAAATTCAAGACCAGCCTCAGAAACGTAGTGAAACACAAAGCAAGTTAGCAAGACCCTGTCTCATAAAATAAAAAAATCAGAAATTTTTAAAAAAGGGCTTGGGATGTGGTTCAGTGGTTAAGCAACCCTGGGTACAATCCCTGGCACCAAAGAATAAATAAATAAATAACTTAATGAAATTTTTAAAATACAGAAAAAAAATGTGTTAGTTAAACTAAAAGTAAGCTGTATGCTACTCCATTCTTTTAACTCTAAGGATGAACAATCACATATTGTTTATGAAGGTTTATACAAAAGACAATGGAATTTTATGTTTCATAGGAAACAGCTCTACTATACGCCTTTGATCCAATAATATATAACAACTCATAGGTATCCTTATTGCCTGCACTACTGGCCTGATACCTTGCCCCCAGGCTCTTCTCCCTTTCATTCCATTCCAACCCACATCTCCAGATAACAAACTGTTTTTTTCCTTCAGTGCTAGGGATGATCCCAGGAGCTTGCAAATGCTAGGCAAGTGGTGCAGCACTGAGGGATGGCCCCAGCCCAGACTGTTTTATGGCCTAGTAAAAAGCCATCAGAAATGTCTAAGCACAGCAAAGGAATATGGTATTTCCAACTGGATTTTAAGAAACCTACAGGCTAAAATCCTTATATTGATATATCAAAGCTCTCTAGAAGCCAGTGGTTAAAGATCCAGAGTCTAGAATTAAATTTCTGGGGCTTGGGGCTGGGGATGTGGCTCAAGCGGTAGCGCGCTCGCCTGGCATGCGTGCGGCCTGGGTTCGATCCTCAGCACCACATACAAACAAAGATGTTGTGTCCGCCGAGAACTAAAAAATAAATATTAAAAAATTCTCTCTCTCTCTCTCTCTCTCTCTCTCCTCTTTAAAAAAAAAAAAAGAAAATTTCTGGGGCTTCATTCTTGGCTCCACTATGTACTAAACTCTGTGATCTTAGGCAAGTTACCCAACTTTTCTGTGATCAAATTTCTTGTGTGTAAACAGTATAAGATAATACACATAAATATAACTGACATAAAATAAATGCTCAAAAAATATTCACTATTATATTTTCATTAAGACTATTTCTTCCACCTTTCTCTTCACTACTTATGTCTGGAGAAACTAAACTATTTGGTTTCTGAACACAAATTGTGATTCCTTGCCTCCTCATTTGCACTGCTGTTTCTCATGCTTGCTTATGCTTTTCCCTCCTTGGAATGGTCTTTCCTCCTCTTCCGTAAATTAGAACCCTCCTCCTCCAGCAAGAAGATTGTAGCATGAAATCCCTGAAACATTCCTCAAATCCTCTCTGATAGAAATGATCTCACCTTCGGGCTGGGGTTGTGGCTAAGTGGTAGAGCTCAACCTAGCATGATCAAGGCCCTGGGTTCGATCCTCAGCACCACATAAAAATAAGTAAGTACAATAAAGGTATTGTGTCCAACTACAACTAAAAAATAAATTAAAAAAAAAAAAAGAAATGATCTCATCTTCCTTTAACTTCAACAGTATCACTTTCATAGAACATCATTAGATTTTATAATTAACTGTATACTTTTCTAAACTACTGTACAATCGATCCATAGTGCCCAAAACACAAACATATTCAGTCAACCTTCAAAAACTAAAAACACAAAGAAAATGGAACATAATATTCCTTCTTCAGAATGAGTTAAACTATAAACCAATAACACTAATGAAATTAATGTGAAAAATTGATAAAATAGTATAAAATCATTAAAATATTTCTTTTAGCTGAATGTGGTGGTGCATGCCTATAATCCCAGTTACTAAAGAGGCTAAGGTAGGAGGACTGCAAGTTCCAGGCCAGCCTGGGTAACTTGGCAAGACCTGTCTTGAAATAAAATTCTTTAAAAAGGGCTAGGTGGGGGCTGGGGATGTGGCTCAAGTGGTAGCGCGCTCGCCTGGCATGCGTGCGGCCCGGGTTCGATCCTCAGTACCACATACAAACAAAGATGTTGTGTCCACGGAAAACTAAAAAATAAAAATATTAAAAAAAAAAAAAAAGGGGGCTAGGTATGTAGCTCAGGGGTACTGTACTCCTAGAATGTGTGAGGCCATAGGTTCCATTCCTAGTACCACAACACAAACAACAATAAAAAAACTCTTTTGCATCCATAATATATTAAAAATGAAAGATGACTTAAGACTCAAAAAATTAAACAAGGAGCCAAAATTAACAAATTTATTTATTTATTTTTGGGTGCTGTGAATGGAACCCAGGGTTTTATGCATGCTAGAAAGGTCCTCTACTACTGGGCTACAGCTACAGCCTACATTAATTAATTGAAACATATATTTATGGGCTGCGGCTGTAGTTCAGTGTTAGAGTGCTTGCCTAGCACATGTGAGGCACTGGGTTTGATCCTCGGCATCACATAAAAATAAGTAAAATAAAGGTATCAGGTCCATCTACAACTAAAAATATTTTTTAAAAAAACATATTAAATGCTTTCATATGCAAAGCATTGTTATAGGCACTTGGATTCAAATATAAACTGTACAATCCTTGACCTAAAGGTAATGAAGGGCAAATAAATCCAATAATTATTATAATAAAATAAATAAAGATCACAGAAGGAGGGTACTTAAGTTAAAGAAACACAATAAGGAGATGCTCCAGGGAGGTGATATTTGAGAAAAAATCTGAAAGAATTAATATCTCTAAATTTAAATGCAACAGACAACATGAAAAGTACAAAATCAGAGATATGAAGCACTGCAGTAATCTGTAGAAGTAGACATTAAGAACCGCTGGCTTCCAGAAATGGAATGGTAGCTTAACATCATCTTCCTGCAGAGAACACATTATAAAATAGGGACAAAATATTTTTAAAAAATACTATTTGAAAGTACTGAAACAAACAAAAATAACCAAAACCCAAACAAACAACTAAAAACCAGACATAACTTAGAAAAATCCACCCTTGGAATACAGAAATAATATCTCTGAGATTTGTCGGAAAGCACTTCACATTCTGTGTCTCTTGGAGTGGCAAAAAAGGCAGAGCTTTACTGGCTTGTGTGTTAGACTTAGAGCAAAGTGTTCAGAGACTACAGCACTGGAAAGTTAGAAAAAGTTTTGAAAGCAATGAGAGAAAAACAACACATTCTCTACAGGAGGGGAAGAGAAATACAAATGGTATTGACTTATTGTCAAGAACAATGGAGACGAGAAGACAATGAAACAATTGTTAAAGGGCTAAAGGACAGATTGAACATATAAATCTATAGCCAATGAAACAGCAAAAACGAAAAGAAAGCTAGTCATTGAGGGATATACCTATAATCCCAGCTACTCAGGAGATTAAAAGGAAAAGGAATGCAAATTTGAGGCCTACCATCACAACATAGCAAGACCCCAAATAAAAAAAAAAAAAAAAAAAAAAGTGAAGGGGAATTCAGACAATTCAGAAAAATGCAAATAGAAAATTCATCACCAGCAGACATATATTACAGAAAACATTAAAGGAAGTTCTTCACAGTATTTGTTAATGGAAATGATAGTAGATGTTAACATGTTCTGGAGGAAGGAATAAGGCCACTGGAAATGTTAAATATACAAGAGACATAAAAGACTACTAAGCAGAAGAGTTAATAGCAGAAATGAGACTGTTCTTTATAAAGGCCTGCTTGCAAAATTGACCTTCCACTAGCATCTGGGAACTTGAATGGCAAGCAGTTCTCTATGCTGATCTAAAACTTCCTTAAATGATAAGGGTGGTTCTCTCTAATTAAAGTGCTTGTACACAAAAGTGGTGAACAATTCCTCATTTCCAGGAGTCTGAAATTTCGGTGGCTGAAATAATCTCTACATAATCATCCCTACATAACCAACCTCCAATAAAATCCCTGGACCCCAAGGCTCAGATGAACTTTACTGGTAGTGAGCACTTTGTGCATAATGATAGAATTCACTGCTGAAAGAATTAAGCACAGACTATGTGAACCTACTTGGAGAGGACTTTAAAACTCTTTGCTGGTTTACTCCAGTCTTTGAATCATAATCCTTTATGCTTGGCTGATTTTGCTTTACATTCTTTCACTGAAATAAATCTTAAATGTGAACATGATTTTATGCTGAGTCCAGTGAGCACATCACCAAATCTGCAGTGGTCTTAGGAACCTCAATGCAATTATACACATATTTCTTATATTTTCAATTCTTTACAGGTATAAAAATATTTAAAGGAAAAAATATAAAGTTGTAATCATGTAGTTACAACAACATAAAAAAAATCTGTAATAACATAAAAATAAATAAATAAAATAAAGAGATTGTGTCCAGTTAAAACTAAAAAATGAATATTAAAATTTTTTAAAATGATATTTATAATATATATATAGTTACAATAATATCAGAAAGATTAGGGATTAAGCCAGGCATGG